CATGAATCCTAAAGCAAAAACCGGAAAAAAAAAAAAGAAAGAAAGAAAGAAAAAAAGAAAAGAAAAAGTAACAATAAATAGTATTTAGAAAAATGTGTGGGCCAGCCAGTGGAGTTGTGGTTAGGGTACACAGCTTTCACCCTGCCAACTGGGCAGTTCGCGCCCTGGACCCAGCAGCCTGAAAATCAGACTGGGTACACGTGCGTGGTGCCCAAAACCCCCGACAGAAGGCATTGTAGCATGGCCATTTCCCCGTGAGATTCTTTCTCAGTTCTCATTTCCCTCCTTTCTCTGATAAGTTTAAAAAAAAAGTTCACGAGTATAATATGATGTAAAAAAAAATGTGCTTTCATTCATAAGTGAAGGAAATTCTACTTTTTTTTTTTAAGGAATTACTTTATTTAACTTTATTTATTTAGATTTGACCAGAGAGGGACAGAGTGAGAGAGAGAGGAAAAAAAGGGAAAGCAAGCTGTGAGTTCTGGGGCTCGAACCACAGCTGGCCAGGTGGCGTCCAGCGCCCTTAACCACTGCGCCACCTGCCGGCCCCGAAATTCTCCTTTTGGTTGGAGGCCAGTCATTTTTTTCTGACCCAAATTCACAAATGCGCGAATTCAGGGCCGGCAGGTGGGGGGTGGTTCAGGGTGCCGGGCAGATACCGAACTGGATCTGCAGAGCTCAGGGAAGGGCCCTTCCAGGCCAGCCGTGGGCCGCTGCGCCTCTCACGGGCGGAGCTGTCGCAGACGCACCCCTGGGGCTCTCGTCCCGGCACCAGCCCCAGCCTGTGCTCGTCTGGGCGGGAAGTGCTCCTGTCCCGAAGGACGCACGCATCGTGGTGCGGGCCAGGCAGGGCGCAGCCGCAGGCCGAGGCTGGCGCGGGCAGCTCCCGGACCTGGGGTGCGGTCTCTGTCGCGGTCTCGGTCTCCCCCGTGGAAGAAATGCACCTGCGTTTTCAGACACCCCATTTCTAATTTTTCTGAGTCTCCATCCACGCTAACGTTCTCCGCGCCGTGAGCCCGGGGGGCAGCGCTCCTACCACCGCTGCTCCGCTCGCATCGTCTACG